TTTATTTGAGATTGACATAGATGAAGCTACGAAATGACCATAGAAAAATTTTTGACTTCATGATGAAAAAAAAATTTTTCATTTTTGGTCTTAACTTTAGCCAGTGAATCTTCCCATAAACAAAATGTTCTTGTGCTTTTTGTCGATGATGGCGAACATGAACGGGTGGTCGGCAATGAAACGGATTTCCCTAGGTGGAACCGCCGCGGCCATTAATCTTACCTGGAATCCGGTGACTGCTGCCGCCTCTGTGCCTTTCTCATCAACCTAAACAAGACCATCAGTTACCGCTGCTTCAACCTGCAAATACAAGCCAGTAATGCAGCTGTTTCGAATACAACTGCGTAAAGGTTCTGCTAGCGGAGAAAATGAGATGTGCTTTCTTTACCCTGAACTGCGACGGTGATAATGCAGGAGGTGGTTTGCAAGGAACAGTTGCTTAGCCTTCCTTTCTGGAGGCATTCGCAACACATGCCCAAGCCACGCAGCTGTGACTTCTCAATCTGGAGAAGCAAAGGCTGTATACCAAGGCTCTTCCGGATGTCACTATTCCGGACCATGCAAAAATCAAACCATCCAATCTGGGAGACATCTGAACCAGAAAGTGAACGCCACAGTTGATGAGAAGGCGACGACTTCGCATATCGCCAGACAAATTTGTCTGATGTTTCATGTTTGGTTGGTGCTTAGCCCAGGGTTGTAGCAACCACCACTGAGCACTCATCTGAAGTTGCTTACAGTGTGAAACACCAGCATCTGCTCTACCGTCAAATTGGCACGCACTACAGGCATTCGTCTGCTGGTAAACGCTAAAAAAGTGAAACGCCAGACTCAGATTTTCCTCCCGTTCTGTGTGTGAGTTTTGGCGCATGAATCGAATCAACGCTTCGTTTCAGAAGCAGTGCGAATCCACCATTCGAATTGATCAGGCATCAGTGTTAGAAGTAAGATAATTAACGAAAGAATTGCTTGCACTGAAATGAAAGTGGCTCGCAGCTCGTAGGTCGAAAATCAATGGAATTCAATTAGACAAAATATATTACATTTCTAATTTTATTACCTCTTTGAACGACACATCGGCAAACAGCAACAGAGCCCACCTCGGGCAGTTTCGCGTAAATTACTTTCGACAGCGTAAGTTCCGAAATACTTTGCGATCGCATAACTCCGGGACACGGCGTTGCATCCGTGCCCTGCCGGAGCTCAAATGCCACTGAGCCGCGATCTGTTTAAATTGGTTTTTAAGAGCGATGCGAGGTGCAACATTGCCTACCGAAGAAAAACAAAAAGGACTTGCATACGTTATAATGTATTCAAACTGTTGTTATACATGGCGGAGGAAATAGGGGAGGGCAAATATAGTTTGTAATTTAGTTTTTCCCCATGCAATAGGAAGCGTACATGAATGCTCATTTTCTACTGCTAAATAATTGCTCAACGAGAAGGCATTTCGAATATATGTTTCAACATTGTCATTAATATGCATGGAATAATAATAGTCGAATCTATTTCAAGTGCTCTCG